CTCAATAGGTCTGCATTATTGTTTCTGTCGACTCTTCCCGGAATTCATCCCAAACCCATTGAATCCGGTATTCCTTGACACCGTTTACCTTCTATTCATGTAATTAATTTTTTAAAGAAATATCCTTTAATTTAAAGCATAACTTTTAATAAAATCGGCAATAGATGACCCAATTTAGATCCAACAAAAATTTCAACCAATCTTTACTCAAACATAAGCAGACTTGGGGTATAAAACTGAACATCGGAATTTCTATGGCCCCTTTAAAAAAGATTCATTGTACATATTATAGTAGTAACAGTGTAAGAAAAAACTCATGAGAGAATCGAACGTTTATATTAGAATAAAATAGTGTTATAAAATTTAAACTTTTTTACGAAATTTTGGAAGCCTCGGGGAAAACCTCGAGGCGGATTCAGAATATTGTTACGTTGTACGTGAGAATAAAAATTGGCGTGGATTAAATTTCAACAATTTATCGCATTGAGGATGAATCATCATCGGGGTAAGACCAGAGAGTTCTCGACGGCCATAGGCGTCGTACCGGGGAGGCGTAAGGGTGTATTTCGTAACAATATACAAGAACAGAAGCATATTTTTTTTAATTTACATCCTATTTTGATGAAAAATTTTGAAACGACATTTTGGTTAGCGTTTTAACTACCATCTACACGATATACCCAAAATACCTACGTATAAAGCTGGCAGTGTCGGCTTGTGACTTTTTGAAATGGGGGGAGACAATTCGATTGATGAGTTAAATATGAAGATATAAAATAGGTTGTTATTACCCATTAATAGAAGAAATTATGTGACGGAAATAAATACAAAAATACATTCAATAAAAATAAAAAATGTCCACATTCCTTTTTGCGTTCGGTCAAAATTTTGGTTGATGGCATCTAAAAGTTCATTTTGGACAATTTTAGACGTTCCTTTAAAAACCGTTGCTTCTTTCAAATGATCTGATAAAGCGGAGTTCCATTCAGCCTTAAAATCAATCAGACCTCGAAATATACCTGGATATTGTGATTCCTTACTTTCGTCATGTCTACATAAAGCAAGTTCGAACACTCCACAAAATTTTCCTAATATATGGCGTTTTTTGTCGACCCTTGCGTTATGTGCCCGAATATTATTAATGTAGGCGGTGTCTAATTGTTTCCGAGAAGATTGTAATCCACTAAATGATGAAAATGGCTCGCACTTTTTTCATTTTTTGTTGCTCTTTCCTTTAAGTGTCGTAGATCATCCACGCTAGTATTAATCCAAGGCTATGTAAAACTCATTACTGAGAAAAGACACAAAACAAAACAATTTATTTTTTTCACAACCGCACATCCAAGAATATTTATCATACGTGTTACATCTATTAAAATATCTATGAAAGGCTCTCGTTGAAATATCGCACATGGACGCACGGTGTCCATGGCAACGGTGTAAACAAAACGTCTAAGTCAGCCATGATTTGGTCTCCGTCCCCGGCTTATATCAGCACTTCATTTGCAACATGTCATATATTCAAGACACAACATCTTTAAATGTAAGTGGATGTAAGTTTAGATACATTTTATACAAATGAAGTGAGCTAAAAAATTAGTTTTGATAATTATGACACAAATTTCATGATAATTTTTTAAATATTGAAAATTACAATTTTGCTATGTCCAGTGTGTTTGTAGACGTTGTAATTTGTAGTCCAATAGTTGCGGAGATTATCTCTCTAATAAGAATCAACACAGACAGATAGACGACAGACAGACGGAAACGGGAGACCTACTTTTTCGTATTCTGGGGGTCATGAAATACTCTGTAGATCGTAGTGTGTTTCCCACTATATGGCTGCATATTTTTACTTTTATAATTATTGTGCTTAGCAGCTTTATGTCAGTTCAGTTACTACAGTTTCTATTGTCTTCTTATACCTGTACCGGCAATATTACGCCGATATCTTCAGTCCTTCAATATATTTTCTTCTGCATTTTTTTCTATTACTTATTTGTTAGTAATCATCAATAATATTTTTATTGTATATTTTTATGTTGTCAATATTATTATTATTTTTATTATTAATAAAAGATAAAGGGTAGAGGGCAAGCCCTGTTATGCCCATACAACTGTACAATTACATAATATATATGTAATATACAAGGTGACTGCGAAATACATGCAAAAAAAAAATGGGGAATAGCTCACAATATGATTATGTCACTGGGTAAAATTCACGGTCCTAAGTAGTAGCAGTGTCTAGAAAAAATTATTTGAAATTAAATGTAAATTGTTGTACGCGCCGCTGGACTGTTTTGTGACCTACATACTTACTACAATGAATGGAACAGAGCGAGTCGAATTAATAACCAAAAAAGTTACTTTATCAGGCACTTTTTTAATCGCAACGTGAAAAACACGAAAAGGGCCAGTTAGCATCGAGCAGTCGGTGAAATCGGTTTATGGTGGAGTTTTCCCATGCAGATTGTGTCGAAATGGTAATTGGTGTGCGTGAACATTTGCATTAATGGTACAGCAACTCCGAGATCATGGTACCTTCAACTTCAAACTCACGATCGTGGCCGTGATGGGGCAGAAAGGAGAATTTGGATTTTCGCAGCTTGTAGTGCATCCTACATTAAAAGAATACGGCCACATCCATACCATGTTGACAAAGTACAGGGTTTGGAGCCCGCTGTGTCCACGTTGTGTAACTCACTTTTTGTCCGATGGAACTCCACGTATTCGTCAACAAGTACGATTTCAAGAGACGGTTTTCGATAAATGTGTATCAGTTGGATGAAACAGTTCGTTTGTGGAAATCAACAGTGTCCAGAAATTATCGAAGAACTTCAACAAGTGAAAGTGGCAGCCGCTACTCCGGTGTTTTTTTACCTATCAACAAACCTCTTGCGACGCTCTGAGGCCTGTATTGCTAGTCAAGGACAACATTTTCAACATTTCTTGTAAAAAGGTAGTAGCATTCTAAGTTGCTCTTATTTCTGTTCCAATAAACAATGTAAAATCGTTGTGACAAGGACCAAACATCCGTCAGAATCAAAACTACCAAAAAACTTTCACACTGACCTTTAGCGATGAATGAGTAAATGAATGAACGAATGATAAGCAGCAAAAAGTCGGTTTTACTTTTAATTGAAACTGAAAGTGTTTAGGTCGTTTTTATTCGAACGTTTTTCCAACTCTGTTTACAAGGTGGCTCAGTGCCTTCGTATCGAGGGTGGTTCATGGGGGTTTTGCCCCATTCGATTTTTAATTTGTTTTTTCTATATTTCGGCTCTACTAGGGTGGGGGATGCCGTGGTTAAAATATTTGCACTTATTTCGCAGTCGCCCTGTATATAAATCCTATAATTGGATTTTCTAATCTGTTGGGCAAATAAAGATGATTATTATTATTATTATTATTATTATGTGTATGTAATGTAATTAGCGATGAGGTCGCTTTCACGTCACGGGTGTGACGCCTGGTACAGGGGCGGTTGCTCGGGCGCCATTCCTCTGTCCGCAGAGGGAACACTTCAGGTACTTTAAACCAGAGAAACGGATCTCCAGAGTCTCGAGAGCGAATAAATACGAAGTTTTGATTGGAAATTCTAGAGATAAAAATAATATTATTACAACAATTAACAAAATTAATGGACGTTTTGGATTAATGATCGGAAACTAATTAATTTTTTAACAACACGTCTACTGGATGGCTAGCACTTAGTAATTATTTATCTTTTATTTCTAGTCGAGAAGAATAAACCGAAAAAACATTAAATACTGATTGAGCGTCTTTCGCAATACCGGCATAGGAAAAATGCAACCATAAAAAACCCGGAATTTTAAATCTGGAATTCATAGAAAGACGATCTGGAGATTTTGAAAGAAGATTAACTTTTCTAAAAATAAATATCAGAATTAAACTGCGTATCTTATCAATTTAAATATATTCATTTGTTTTGTAACCGAACCCATTTAGATCATTTTGTACAAGTGTTTTGTTGAGATAACGATAATCGTTCACAAATAAAAAAACTGGCTTAAGACGACTAACCTGAGGGACATCAGAAGTACAGCAAAAGGTTTAGAAATGCGGCCATTTATATAACATATACTTAGAATATATAACACTATATTTTGTAAACATAAAGCTATCTTAATTGAAATCAATTTGAGATTAAAAATAATAAAATAGGAGTACATAATTACAATTTTTTAATATCTCGGTTTTTTTGAAGCGGGTGATTTTTAGAACCTCATATTCAAATAAGGTCAGGTCAGGTTAAGTCAGATTACCCACTGTCTGAGGCTGAACTTAGAAAAGCTAGGTTATGTTATGTCAACAAGAATTAAACTCTTCTTGGATTTAAAATGTTATTGTGATTTTCGTCGTTCCAAGATTTAAACTATTCTTTGCTCAATCAGTTTTCAAGTGAACAATGTTTGAAGTTCAAGATCAGTGATAAATTTTGGAATTTTTTGCTTTGAATCACGTAAAGGAATCAACAAATATAATATCATGTGTGTATGTCAACAATGCTATCATAGTTTAAACAGAAGCTCTTAATCCTTTAATACTGTGAAAATAGATTCTATTTATTTAACGTCACAAAAATTAACTATTGGGAATATTAGATTTTCCAGCAAGCTCAAACACTTATTTATCATTTAATTTTGAAAGTTAGGTGTCAAGTTTAAGTGTGAAAGGACAACTTTAAAAGAATTTGGAAACATATTTTGACTGTTAGCAGGTGGAGGTGAAATAGAATAATAACAGATTGGGACTATCTTGTTAATGTCTTTAAGATATATGTATTAATTTTTTGTCTTCAAAATTTCCAGTGAGTAATTTCCTTTAAAATAGTGTTTACATTTTTAAAGATTACGGTATTTCTATGTAAAGTTGTGATCCTATTGTTTGAAAACGATTACATAAAAGATAAATTAACAAATACATTTTTTCCAAAGATAAAAAGATGTATCAGAGCGACACGTATTTTGAAGGAAGGGACAAGATAATGGAAAACTTTAAAAGCAACCTATTCCAACTCTAAGCATCAGTTGTCTCTCCTCATCGTCATCACTGTTACTACTTCTTTGTCAATATGGAAAAAAGGCGTAAGTACTTAATTTTTTTTTTTCAATTTTTTCAAATATTTATTTATATCTTCAAATAAAAAAATAATAATAAAATGTTAGCTCTCTATCACTGGGTTGATTCCTCCACCACTGATGGAAAGCTTCCTACCACGGCGTTCCAAATGGGTGTCGATCACCACGGCCATGCTATTTACGTAGGAAGAACACACTTTGACAATGAATTGACTCCAGTCCACGTCGTTCCAGGCCACAAAAAAGCCTATGTGGCTTACCAGGGCAAAGAACATCCCGTGGAGAAATATCAAGTAAGTCATATTTTTCCAGAGATTTCCTGTATAACAAGATTTTGGCAGCTTTTGTGCATGAACTTTTTCAAATGGGTGCCAGACCATGACGGCAAAGTACCCGAAGGAGCGGTAGAAGCTGGTAAAAATAAGGACAATTCGCCGTTGTATGTAGGAAGAGTGTTCCACGAAGGGTCCTGGATTATCGGAAAGGTAAACAAATTCAGTCGTTCTTGTTTTTGTGTAATTTGCGATTTTGTCTCAGATACATCCGCAGTTTAAAGTTTGCTGCTATCCTCACGACGGTAAAGAACTGACGACGAAGTCTTACGAGGCCCTGGTCTGTGTGGTATGAATATGGGAATTATATAGTGGTTTATGTAGCTGATATACGCAAGTGTCAATATTTTTTACACAAATAAATAATTTCAAAAATAGTACTACTTCACGATCTTTAAAAAATTCTCAAATTTAGACACACTATCTCATTGTGTCTGTGAAATCTCCAGTCAACTTTGTCACTCCTTACTCTTGTTCTTATCAGATTTATTATTAAACCTCCGGTAGCCGCCTCATCCTCACAAAAAATCCCCATAGAACCACCGCGATGACGGTGCCGAATCCGTGATGACAGTTAATTTGGGGGGTTGCGGTTTAACAGTTGACAGTCGGTATTTGAGCTTATGACAGAAGGTAACGCTGTAATTTATCAAAAGCCGCGATTTGGACATCTCCAGGTAGAGCTTCTTTCTCACGAAACGTCCGTCCGTCGAAACCCCTAACCCTCCCACATAGCAGTGGCGCAATAAAACTGACATTTTCTTCGTTTTGGCCTCCTCGTTCCGGCCCTGTGATTAAATCTGCACCGACATTCGGAAGCCGGGGGCGTATCGGAGATTTTACCCTTTAATTAAATCAAGAACGGACTTAATTCTATTTGTTCAGGATTTTGTAATAGCGGGTTCGCACCAGACACGTCGCGAAGCGTCAGGGCCGAACTTACGCATTTATCTGGCGGCGGTGTTTCACCACTTAATTGTTTACTAATTTGTGTGGATAAATATGAGATTTGAGGTGGGTTCAAGTCCTGGGGGTCTAAAGTTTGAAAGTTTCAGTCCTGTACTCCTGTTTTCAAAAAAAAAAAAAAACGATTTTATTAATTTATAAGAACTAATTATTATCATTTCCTTCATTTCCTACTACTGTTTACAGTCGCATCAGTTACAGAAAATAAAAATTAATGAAGTATGCGTACCGTATAAAATATGCACCAGCCATTTAACACGATTACGTGATTTCTTCTTTGTTTACACAAACATCTAAGTACTAATTGCAACAACTTTATTAAAACGCCAAAACTCACGCAATAAAAACCGACTGCAACTATGTGTGGTGGAAATTTTTTCAATTTATGCAATTTAGTCGACAATTATCATATTATACTTTATTTTATCCGTCAATTACTGATTTCTTGCGAACAATTAACAACATCCTAATTACGTTATCACACGCTCATACCACCGTTTTTAATTGCAGACATTACTAAGCAAACGAACGAATTGTAATTAGAGATTGGTATATGCTAATACATATCCAGACGAACATTTAAATAATAATTCAATATATTAATAAAAAAACCGAGACACATTCGAACATAAATAACATCCACTGTGGACATGTGAAGCGTGTGTTTGTTTTAAATGTAAATTATTTTCATAATTTAGTCGGCTGTGATGGTTGGTGTCACGTGAGGGGATTTATGGGGGTCCGATCCTCCCACTTCCACTATTAATATATTATCGAAAACATTGCATTTGGCGCCTAGGAATTTTAATGGGTGCTGGATCACACCACGGAATGGTGCCTGTTGAAGAATTCATTCAATAATTCACCCCATTGATGAATTAGCACGTAAGGGTGTAAGTGGATGGTAATCCGTTTTCTACAAAGCGTAAAAAGGGCGTAACTACGTGTAAGGAATTTTAAATATTCTGTTTGTAAGTAATAAAATATCGTAAATAAATATTTGACAATTGCTGCCCTTTTGAAAAACCTAGGATTTCTTTTTCAAAATTTACACAAAAAATATCATTTTAAATGTAGTCTTAAATTGACTGTTTTAAAGCACGTTCCGAATAGTCCACAATAAATTAAAAAATAAATAAATAATGATAAAAATATGGCAAATGTTTGAAAAACCAGGCAGTAATTAAATAATGTTTAAAGTAAAATATTGTAATTTGGCTGTCGTGCTGTCACCATCCCATGTTATTTGCTGTACAAGTTTTTTGTGCCATTAATAAAAATTGTTGATGCTAATGCAAATACTTAAGTCAGAGTTAATTTTAACTCAACGCCCGCTGTTAAGGCACCATTCTCTCGCTTGTTGGGCTAAATGTTCTCAGTCATGGGTTACTTACCAAAATTATGAAAATTATAAATGCATTTACGATAACATATTTTAATCTCCAAAAAGAAACTGTGGTAACTATATATGTAAATAATTTCTTGCAAAAAAGGAAATGAAATTTTTCAATATGCATCTTTAAATGAAGATTGTTTTTATATTACATCATCACTCTTTTGGAGAAAATAAGTACAGTATAACCCACAATTATTCGAATATACAGTAATCCGAACGGAGGCTAGTTGAATTCTGTTTAATTAATTTCAGGTGTATTGAATTTTTTCAAATTTTTAAAAATTGCGATATAATGCTCTGAACTAATTAACTAATTCTGGAAAAAAGGTTGAAGTTATCGAAGAAGAGGCCGGAAGTGACTTCCGCGGCCCGAAATCTACAAGAAAAAGTATTTAGTTAAATTTCGAAAATCGTCAAAAATGGGTCGAAATTTGCGTGAGGTAGGTATACATAGTGGAAAATCTCATTACTGAAACAGTTGTTTCAAAATTCTGAAAAAATTCAGGCATATATACATCCCGACATGCTGATTCCAAAAGTAAGGCGAGTTTATGGTCACGGAGCAACATTTTCGAAAGAATTGGTACAAAATGCGAATTTTTTATAATTTCTAGAAATTTTGATATTTCAACGGACGCTTCTGGACAAAAGGTTGGAGCTATCAAAGAAACGAGGCCGGAACTGTGTTCTATAGCTCTAAATCTACAAGAAAATGTATTTAGTTATGTTTCAAAAATGTCAAAAATTTGCTGATTTTTGAAGATTGAAAAAATTACACTTTTAAAAAAGTTGTCAAAAAATTGCGAAAAAATTCAAGGACGTGGATAGCGACATGCTGATTCAAAAAATATAGCATGTTGATGGTCACAGAGTAACATTTTCGACAGAATCGGTCCGAAATGCAAATTTTTGAAATTTTCTAAAAATTTCGATATTTCAGCGGTCTATTCCGGAAAAACGGTTGCGGTTATCAAAGATACGAGGCCCGAAGTCAGTTCTAGAGCTCGAAATCTATAAGAAAATGTATTAAGATAAGTTTCGAAAATGTCAAAAATTGACTGAAATTTGAGGAAGAGGAGATCATTGAAAAAATTTCATTTTCAAAAAAGTTGTCTAAAAACTCCGAAAAAATTCAGGGACGTAGATCTCGACATGGTGATTTCAAAAATATATAGTCTTCATGGTCACGGAGCAACAACTTCGAAAGAATCGGTACGAAATGCGCATCTTTGAAGATTTCTAAAAATTTCGATAGTTTAATGGTCGATTCCTGAAAAATGGTTACATTTATCAAAGAAACGAGGCCCGAAGTGAATTCTGGAACTCGAATCTATAGGAAAATGAGTTTAGTTAAATTTCAAAATCGTCAAAAATGGGTCCAAACTTGATTCTATAGTGGAAAATTTCGTTTTTGAAATAGTTGTCTAAAAATTCGAAAAAAATTCAGGGATATATATCCCTACGTGCTGATTCCAAAAATATGCCGAGTTTATGGTCACGGAGCAACATTTTCGAAAGAATCGAATGCGAATTTTTGAAAATTTCTATTAATTTCGATATTTCAACGGTTGATTCCGGAAAAACGGTTGCATTTATCAAAGAAACGAGGCCGGAAGTGAATTCTAGAGCTCGAAATCCACAAGAAAATATTTAGTTAAGTTTCGAAAATGTCAAAAATTGCCCGAAATGTGTAGAAGCGGGCACCATTAAAAAAATTTCCCTTTTAAAAAAGTTGTCTAAAAATTGTGAAAAAATTCAGGAACATAGATTTCACCATACTGATTGCAAAAATATAGAGTGTTGATAGTAACGGAGCAATATTTTAAAAATTGCTATATTTCAATGGACAATTCTTAAAAAACAGTTTAAGTTATCGAACAAATGTATTTAGTTACATTTCGTAAATCGTCCAGAATGGGAAAATTTCCTTTTCGAAAAAGTCATCTAAAAATTTTGAAAAAATTCAGGAATATAGATCTCGACGTGTTGATATATTGATAGTTTACAGTCGAAACGTTGTAAAGGAAGTGAAATGAATGATGAACAACAGAAATTAAAGCAAATCTTTCCAAAATTCTTGATATTTTAATTATTTAAATTGAAATAAGATTTTCTGACGTGGAAAAATTACAACCACGACAATATAATTTTTTCGATATTTGGATATTGGTAAATCTTGTGCCTTGCCCTATCAATTCATGAGCCGCCCCTGTCCGTTTCCTAAGGACAAGTGCACTCCAAATCAAATATAAACAAGTGTGTTTTCGTAACATAGTGCGTTCGAATCATAGTCATCGGCGGAGTATGGGTGATTAAAATATGATACATTAATGAATTCAGAAAAACAAACTCTACAAGAATTCTAAAAATACATAGTGTCCTTAAAAAAAATGTTGGATATCAAAACATATTTATTGGATACATTCAGTATGTTTAATATGTTATGATTATAATCTTCTTCATTTTTCAAACGTAAAACACGACACAAATCAAGTCTCTTTCACGACTTTCTTGCGCTTTAACCCTATCCGTAATTACATCTACTTCTGTCTCAATCGCAAAAAACACGTTTAAAAGAAAACCCACTGACTGTACTCCGCCTACCACACACCAAGCACGCAAATTCCCAGAAGTTCAATTCCCATTTTTTCCAACTTCCATTATCCTTAACGTACGTCACCAATTTAATTGCGCTCTTCCATATTATTCTAATGACATCAAAGTGGCGTGGTGTGTTTCTCGTTAATTGCTCGTTTTCGACATTAGCGGATAATTATGCGGTCGGCCGTGTTTTTGTGTAATCTGTGGTGTTGCCGCCGCCGACAAAAAAGAGATCGGTCGTCAGAGAGTGTCCTCGTCAGGTCCTTTGCATCCCGAGCGCTACCAACTAGTCGGGAATTAGCGGCCAATTAGTCACCCGTGTGTACGATGGGCCTAATGAGTTGACACAGATTGAGTATTCCTTATTGATCCTTGATTGTGCATGCGAACGAGGACCAAATCGCAGGAATGCGG